ATGAACCAAAATGAATGAAGAAGGAAATTATAAGAGGTGGGCAAGAGTGGAGTAAGGGAGACGAAGTGTAGAGAGGCAAGTTCTTTTCCATATTGGAGGAAGTTCAACAATCAAAATCCCACAATATTAAATAATATTTGAAGAAAGCATAGGAACAAATGAACCAAAATAAACAAAGAAGTGATTGGAACTTACTCGGTGATGCAAGGACGGAGGGACGAGGGAGGATGGACTCGCCATCGGAGCTCTGAAATCGTGAAGACCAAAGACATGAGAGAGGAGCACGGGCCTAAGCACTGTCGAGTGGATTGAACTCAAAGACTTGCGTCTGTGAGTGCGAGTGACAAAGGCGGCAAATTTTTTTTTTTTTTTTACATTTTAGGATTAAAATTGGAAAAAAAAAAAAAACTAAGAAAAAAGTGAACCGCCCAATTCATTAAAAACCGCTTTTGGTTCGCAGTCCAACCACTTCTCAGGAGCAATCCAACTCAGTCCAAAAGAAAAAATGGTTAGTTAGTCCAAACTAAATCATAATAGTGACTAATCGATAATCTAACTAGTTGGATCATTCGGTTTGATCTGGTTTTAAAATCATTAATCTGAAGATAACATATGGTGATTTTATGAAGATTGACATCAAGATAAAGATAAGTTGATAATAAGTTACACAAACCAATCTAATGACCTAATGTTCTTATTAATATTAATGAAAATGAAAATATGTTTGTTTTAAAATCTGACTTCTTCTGTTCCATCATCATAATAACTTTGCGAGCTATCAGCAATCACAATCGCAATAAGAAGTATAAGTCTTCGTCTATACCCTTAGCACTAAGGAACCTCACTTTGAAAAGAATTTTCAAACACTGAGTCAATGTATATCAAAATTTGTAAAGACGCGTTTATTTTTCGAGAATCTTACTGCAAAAATTAACACGTAGCTAGATTTAGAGGCTGTTTGATTTCTTCCATTTTTTATTTTAAAATTCTTAAAATAATTTTAAAATTTTATTTTTTAAATAAAACAAAATAAAAATTTATTTGATTATATTAATTTAAACAATATTTTTCAAGTTAAAAAAAATCATGTGAAAAAAAATATCTCATTTAAAAATATGTTTTTTATAACAAAACATTTAGGTAACTTAAATCTCGAAAGCTCGTTAAAATTAAGACATACTTTGAGGCTCTATAAGTGTTTATATTTAAAAACATGTTTACCACCATTTATCATCGCTTATTAGTATTACCGGCTGTCATTTTTATTTGGACCTTGGCTCACTTCATTTTATGCCCGCAAATTCCTACTTGCTTTTGCGACTCATACATAAGAAATTACTAATTACCAAAGGAGGTACTGTGTAAAACTAACCGCCACGTTTCTAGTATTTTAGCAAGAAGTATGCAATATTAACGGTTGAAATAGAGTAGGAAGTTGATTACAAAATTGAAAGTACGAGAACTGATTTTTTTTTTTTTTTGGTTCTGATATTCTAGATCTTTAACTTGACTAATCTGATTGGCAGCTCCGTCCACCTCTTTAGCTTGATTGCCAAAGATTTAACTTTCACATTATTCTTTAACATGAGGTGGGACAAGATTTTTTTTTTTTTACACAAGCTGGAACCAGAAGTTCGTTGGGTATTTGTGGCCTTATATTAAATGCACTCTTCCTCATCCAGGCCCACTCGTGGAGCCCAAAAACTTATGGCATATGTGGCCCACTTGCAGGTTTTCCTCTCAATGGTTATCCATTTTAATATGTCAACTTCTCAATACAGGAACTGACCAATGTGAATTAATTCAGTCTAGTATTTTGTTAGATAGTTTTTCTACAATACCACTCCAATTTATTAAGTCTAGTATTTTTTAGTGGAACAAAATTATATAATAGAATGGGTAGTTTGATTGTGATTGAATTTAATTAATTAAATTGTAATATTGCATTACTTTCTCCCATCCAACAATATTCTTGGCAATTCAGTTATTGTCTGTTTTATTTTATTTTTTCTTATGAACTTTGTTATTGGACTTCTAATAAAATCGATCGGTTGGCCTAGTCATTTATTTCACTTAAATATTCTTTACTGTATATCATATCGATAAACAAGCTCGTGCCAAAGACATTAATTTGGCTAGTTAGCCTAGATGTAATTAAGCTTTTATTGTCTTTTAATTTGGGCTCGTTACTTCGTTAAGTAAATAATATCAACTAATAGTTACATACCCACATATTGCATTAGCTAATTTTAAAGAAAACTTTGGTTTATAATTATTTGTTAACCAAGTTTCACCAACCAAACACCATAACAGAGCATCTCAACCTTGTTGGAGACAAAGTCACAGAGCAGAATTTTAATAAAATAAAGCGTAAGTTGATTAATTTCAACGCATGGTTACTGCTACAACATTTTTCCTTCACACATGCTCATCGTCAAACAGTATATATTCTCACCGAACAGAATGTATATGAAGAATATTAATGTACTAATAAATTTATGCTTTCTCTACATACAATAAATCCCCCGAAAACCATGTATCATTTCTGCTTAGCTGCTTAGCATTGAGATAGGTGTCGTGTGTGTGTGTGTGTGTGTGTGTGTGTCTGCAGAAAAAAGAACAAGAGTCTTGAAAGATATCAAAAACAGGTGTTGAATTAGATCAATGGCCTCTTCCTTTGTGGCTTGGTCCAGAATAAGCCCTGTTGATGATCAAGCTTAAGAACGAATCCGGTCTCGATTCATGTATCAGAGGCCTCATGCCCTCAACATTCATGCAGAACAACGTCAACACGAAGAACACGATGACGACGATGGTAATGGCGTTAAGACATGCCACAGCTCCACGATGACCCTTCATTCTTTCTTCTGCAATTAGCTTCTTAGGACTTGAAGTTGACAACGTTAATGAAACTGGTAACCAAAGTCTCAAAGCAACAAGAAGCGAAACAAACTGTATTGAACTGAGAATATGGTTTGAAGCTGATGAAGAATGCTTGTGTGTGCACACACACACATATATAGGGTGAGAGTGGGGCCCGGAAGAAAAGATATATACTCAAGTTGCATTGTTTGACTATTTGGCATGGGCTGAGGTTGGCGGAGTTGAAAGGTTAACTTTTTATTCAGAGTTTTGAACTTTTTTGAGTTTGAATTTGAATCAGTGCGAAGTTGAAGTAGGAATTCATGGCAACAAGATTTGTAGGCAAAAGGAAACAAGGTTACATTTTAGGACGCGAATCACGCGTTTTTTGACCAATGAAGATTTATAGTTAGTAGGAGGCAGGACATTAGGAACAAGTCAACATGAAGAAATAGAATATTAGTGAAGTTGGTGAATGCGTGGGCCTTCAATTTGATTTTTTTTTTAATAAAAATTGTTAAGCTACTTGTAAATCTTTCTTTGACCTTTTCCTCCGACTCTATGTTTTTCATTTCGTGATTTGTGATGCCATCATGATTTCGTAATCCCTTTAAACTAAAAGTTGCTTTAAGCAGTTCCACTTGTTTCTTCTATCGATTTATTGATGATATGATTTAGCAATATTAACATTATAGTCGGCCTGTATTCATATGTTCCTTTACAAATCATTTAATTTTTATAAACTTATATGAAGGAATTTTTGGGTTCAATTTTTGGTTTATTTTTAATTAAATGTCTTTCTCAATTGTAAGTTTTTCATTAATTTTAGATAAGATATCATATAATTAAAGTTTAACTGTGTATGGTATAATTAAAAATATATTTAATATGAATAAATATGTCTTACACGTAATCTCATTCCTTTATATTATTATCTCTTTAAATCAAACACATAACTAAATAATTACCACTAATTGAATTTGGCTTTCCATGCAAGCAAGCTAGCTGTCGTTTTTGTTTTCACATTACAACCAAATCTTGTGAAATGAAAATCTACCTACCATGCAATCCAAACGTACTTTACCAAACTATAAAATATATTATTCATTTCTAATTCACCCTTTCGTGTCAACCTTTTTTAAAAATCATTTTCCACATGAATATTAGTATCACTTGTACCTTAATTTCACGTTTACTTTTGAGTTTTGACCTTAAAACTTCAGAATGCAAAGTCCAAAACTTTCTTTGACCAATCGGTGCCACTTACTCCTCAGAAAATTTTAGCACTCATTTTCTTAATTTCAAATAAAGAATAATTTATTTTGAATCATTTTTATTCATTCATTAATTAGAAAAGTTTATAATTGTTAATGAATAATAATAAACAATTATTCTAGAAAATTTAATTTGTTCAACCGCAATTTATTTAAAATGATTGTCACTTCTTACCTAAAGTAGAATTTATTATAGATCATTAGTTGTTAGATCGAGTGAAAAGAGTTGATCAATTTGCTCAGGTAATGTCAAGCCATAAGTGTTCAAATCTTGTGAATAAAAATAAATCAAATTGAGAAAACTAGTTTTGATTGAATTCAACAATACTTGAATTTGATCTAGTATTGAATTTTAGATAAATGCATTAGGAAGAAGAACTATTTATAGACAAAATTTCAAATGCACTTTTGTACTGTTAACATAAAATTATGACTTATACATGTGGGTGTGTTTGTTTAACTTATAATTTTATTTAACTTCTCATGGCATTGGTAGTTCATTATTAAAATTTTCAAAGAATATTTGTTGCTATTATCTGAGCCCTACCTTTTATTTTGGACCATGTCTTTTACCATTAATCACACTGATCTTTCACAATACCTCACCTTCCCCTACACACGAAGAAATCGAATTTTAACTAAAAATGGACATAAAATGGCGGCAATGATAACAATCACAAATTATTAAACAAAAAATCCCATACAAGAAATAAATGTGGAGAGGTGTTTTAAATTGTAATCCTACCCCGCGAAGGAAATGTGAAATGGAACCAAGCTAACTCAAGCCGAACTTATTTGACAAGGTGTGTTTGAATACATAATTTTAATAATGTATCATAATTATTTAGAATATCTAAAACGAGATATCATAAAATATTTTATTTGGACTGGGAATAAAAGGAAATATAAAAGTACCAAAAGTATACATTACAAAGATCTTTCCAAATAAATAAATTTGAATTACTGAATTCAGCTCCCTCCAACTCTAAGCGAATTGAAATAATTGAAAGAACATTTATTCAAGACCTTTGTTGAGGCAGTCCCGTCACGTAATGTAGTGTTGATTCAAAGCACCATAACGCGTGCTTGGACAAACCAGTGTTCGAAAAGGACTGGGATCTGGCAAATGAACTTTGAACCAGTCCACTGTTGGCATTCTAAATAAATGATGTAATTAAATGCTGCTTCGTTTTGCTTGCTATCATTGTATGTCCAAGTGGTCCAAAGCCATACTGCCATAGTGAGCAATCTGGGAAGACTTAGGCTCGGTCTGAATCAGTAGTAGTGACTAGGCTTATTCAACTGTTGCTCCAAATTCAAAAGTCAATTACCTAATGATTTTCTTAACACTATACACATCTTCCCGATGATGACCAATAGATCGGCTAGGACCAATCCAAACAAAATTGAATCAGCTCGTCTTGAGGAGAATAGAGTTGCTGGGTCAGGTTCCCCATCTTCATTTGACTGGGAAAACCTTCCCAGTATGATTACCAGTAAGAAAATTAATTCATCTTCTGCCTTTTGCAAGTCTAACTCCATCCAAACGAACCTCGTCATGGTGAAATGCAAGTCCTCAAATAAGATTATTTTCAATAAGAGAACACCTATGCACAATAAAAAAATAAATGATGTTAAAACGTTAAAAATGACTGAACATGTAAATTTATCCAGGTTAAGAGATTTTAGAACTGTTGAAGATTTTACAGTAGGGTTTAACATGTATTCCCACGCATGTTCATATATGTCTATTTATGAGTGTGCACACATACGTGTATGTTTATATGAATATACGTGCATGCGTGTACAAGCACCTGTCCGAGTCCCTCACATGTTTATGTGTATTCACATATTAACAATACATGATTAGAAGGAATATAAGGTGGGTCAACAATTTAACCATGGGTTCACACATGGAAGCTAATTTTTTAGTTGACCCAATCCAATCGACCGTTGGATCAAAAGTTCAGAAGATAATTGGGTTAGAGTGATTGAGTATACAGCCATATTGCCACCCCAAAATAATCAAATGTATATTAAACTTGATTGTAGATCAAACTTGTTAAAAAGTAAACCGAGCCCGTAAAAGAGTGATACTAACATTGGACCCAGCTTAGTTCCCTTTGCTGCTTAAACTTTTTAATAATTAATTACACCTTTTCAAAAGGACAAAACAAAAAGACATCTTTTCAAAATTCATTTTTAATAAAAAAAACTAAATTAATTCAGCAGTTCCCGGATTTATGCAGACATATCAATACAGAGGATCAGACGAGGGCAGGAGATGCTAAGTACTAGTATCAAACCAAAAGCAAAATAATAACAAGGGCAGTCAACTAGCCATAATATCAAAAGACACTAGGGTTACACAAAGAAAAAGAAGATACTTGGCAATTAGGATAAAAATTTCAGGAGTAAATGCAATAAGCAGCCGACACAATAAGAAAACATCCATTTAGTCATGGAAATTATTGAAGAGAAAAAGTAAGATATTGGAAAGAACAACTTTCAATAATAAAATCTAAAGAATGAAGCAGCAAGCTGTTGAGGAAACCTATGAAAATAATAAAAAATAAAATATGCATATCAAGCCTAATTGAAACAAAGTTTTGCCATAAATATAAATATACATTGTCAGAGTTAAGGCCTATATCAGGATCAATAACAGGAGAGATTAAGTCAGGGCATGGAAAAGATTAAATGAACCGCCAAGGACTTCAGCAATCAAAATTGCACAGCACACACATACACACACGTGCACACGCAGAATTATTAAATACAGAAATTCATGTAGTTTAATATGATTAAACACAGACATTCATGCAGTTTAATATGCCTAGTAAGACCAAAGAACAGGGAAAAAAAATTTCTTTGACTGAGAAGCATTCCAAAATGTATTTGGACATAGAAAAGCGTCAGTCTTATATCAGGTACAGGCAACATTTGAAAAATCTGAATATAAGATAAATGATTAATTACCTATATTGACCTTGAATAGAAATCTGATGAAATAAGAACATATCCTGCAGACATTGCAGAGTTAAGCACATTCTGCAGGATGTAAATGTTGGATGGCAACACTTGCTTGTGACCTCACACATTTAAACTGGAGAATATGATAGGAAAGTTTCCCATATTAAGATATTCCAGTATTACTATGTTGGTATAAGCAAGCTCCCTCCATAATGATCATCAACAGCTGCCTACAAAAATAAGCTCTGACGTGTAAGCATGAAGAAGGTGAAACACCACCTCGGAGTCAAGATACAATTCCTAAAACATCAATCAAGCAACACAAAGAAAAAGCATGAATCAAATCTCAAATAAAACATTACTACCGTTGGACTATTTGGATATATCTGAATTATTTCAACATATCTGAATCATTGACCTAGAAATCCTATATATTAGGATTAACATGCGGAGAACAAGTGGCTTCTTAAGTCAGTGGATTCAGTTATTAGTTTCCTAGTTTCAGGGGATTTTCATTCTTTTCTGCCTCCTAAGTGCAAAGTTGTTCTCTGTGTGAATATAGATTATTTAATACATCTGAAAGAGAGAATTCCTTTTAAGAATTACTCCTTCAAACAATTTTCAGAAATGATGAAACAAAGTAGACTTAAATGTACAAGTAATAAAAGGGTGATGAAGGCTATTAGATGATACGGACTATTATTCTCAGGGAGTTGTATCGACAGTCTAGTGCCATGTAAAATTAGACAGATAACCCAATAAATGTACTCAAAATCAGTGTACACCACTATTTCCTATGTAAAACTAGATGAGGAACCAGTTGCAACAAAATCTAATGTGTCACAGAAAATTACCATATTAAAAGTCAGAAAAATTAGCCAACAAACACAGAATGAGCCAATGTTGACTTTATATGGCTAAATGTAGACAAAAAGAAAGCTGCATATACAATAAAATGTCTTCAAGAGCAGTTTGTGTTTTCAAGGATTTAAGAACAGGGACAACAAAATGCCTGCTCTTGTATGACATTTGGATATTCACAAACCAGCATGTAGTAAACTTTAGTTCAATTAAAATAACTAATGTGCTCCCTCCCTCGTCCTTCTATGTATATGTGTGCATGCATAATAGTCAACAGGAGAAAGCAGGCTTACCTGGAGGTATGGCAAAACTATTTCATACACGTGTAGGAAAAATTGTGACTTTGCTGCAAACCTGACACTGACTTTGAGTTACTATAAAGAATGTCAACATAATGAAAAAAACAAAAGAAAAATCCAATAATCAATATAAACAATGACAGAGTCGTATCATTCTGTAATTCCCCAGTGAAGAACCGGCATAAAACAGAGTCATATCACTCTAAATACATATATGACGGGCACCATATAGATTAACCTCACTTCAAACAGCGCTAGGTCAATTTTATCTCATCTCCACAATCAAGCAAATTAGGCTTGATTGAAAATTTAACAAAACAAATACTAATTTTGCATGATTAGAAACATGAATATTCACAAACATGAAACAATATGTCATTCAATAGAACACGTGAAGACATACCTTCTAAGAAGCCTGAAACAAATATAAATCTCTTCAATATCCTGTTCTATCTTTACTATGATATACTGCTTCAGGAGCTCACACATGATGTTGATAGCTTCATCAGAACCCTGGAAAGCAGGATCTAGCTGCCTAAATTCAGACATACTTTGGTGAAAAACAAAAGATAAAGAGTTATTGACCCCTGGTTTTTCATATAATTCAGCAAGTTTTTTTAATATTAAGCAATTGCTAGCTTTAAACTTGTGAACCCAATGAGGAGGATTCCCAACCCAAAGATTGTCATCCTCATTTGAAACAGTATCACTGGATCTTGGATAATGCTCAGAAGTATTGATTGATGACTCCAGATGGTTTTCTTTATGAGGAGTCAAGACAGCTTTGGAACAAAAAGCTAGACTCCTGTGCTTAGGAAGCTGCTCAAGGATGTCACTTCTCAAATCTTCAGGCAGTTGTCTCAACACTGAAGCATCCACTTGACTCAATGAAGAAGGCATTAGATCATCTTTTTCAAAAGTTGAATTGTCAGGAACCTTGCCATGGGCTCCAGCTTCTGAACCTGAACCTACAATTCCCTTGGCTTCATGCTGCCTTGCCTAGAAGTGTACATAACATTGTAACGGCAACAAATTTCATTAGAAAAAAATAGAACAAACAATACATATAAAATCAAACCATATTCACCTTTATATATTATCAAACAATCAAAAATGTCAAATCAAGGCAACAAGCCACCATCAAACAGAACTCAGCTGCTGCCGAGTATGCTGATACTAATGATTTACTTGACAGTGAAGAGAAGCCTTCCCCTTTTTTAATGAGAGCAAGCTTAAGTTCTAGTTGAAGGAAAACCTCTGCTTTACAGGCTATTAAAATTAAAATTGAATAATTTTGGTCTGGATTAAAGGCAGAGCAAATAAAGTTAAACAAGCGTGAGATGTGCATGAATGTGGTTCATCAGTTTCTAAGAAAATTATTAATAAATATTAGCATAAGATTAAACCAAAACAGTAGGACTGAGAATTAATTAGGACAAGAATGTTTGTATATAAAATAAAATAATCCCTCCATGCCTAATAACTTAAGCATGGAGATTAGGGAAGGCAAATAGACAAGCATAGTAAAGTTAATTCAAGCAACTCTGAGCAGTCCAATCTAATACCAGGTGTAAGCCAAGGAATATAGAGATAATGAAAAAGGTCTAACAAGGGGGGAAAAAAAGACTTCTGTAGAATAACATAAGAATTACCTTTTCTTCTATTGGCATCTTGCTTTGAGGATTCGACTCCAAAAAGGGAAGTTCTTGTTCCTTGTTCATAGCTGTTAAGAAACAAAAAGCAGTAAGCAATTTGAGAACCAGCCCAGCAGTAATGATATATAAAATATTACCTTCTTGTTTCTCCATATACAAGTTTCGAAAAGTGCTAGTACTTTCACTTTTTCCTTTCCCTTTTACAAGAAAATCAACTAATTTTCCACCATAAATTTCATTTAACTCTGAGAAGACTTCTGGCGGAAGATTTTTGATAACTTCCACATCCAGGTGACATAGAGGAGGTGGAGTTGAAATCCGATCAGAACTAGCTTGATCATTTACCATTTTACTATCTATTTGAGCGAAAGACCATCTGAATCTCCAGATGCTTGACCTGAATTGTGACCCAAATTCTGATTGTCATGAACTGTAGAACAAAACAAACAGAAGCTATTCCAATTAATGCATCAACTGAGCTTAATCTCAAAAATGAGGTCGGGTAGTTTTGGGGTGGGGGGAGTTGGGATCACATTCATACATGTATAAACAATGCGAAAAATAATATCATGAAAAATAACACAGGTATCCACTGTTTCACAATAATTTCCAATACCTAAAGGAGAACTCTTTTGTCTCGTACTTGTGGAGCCTGAAGCAAGCCAGGACTTTAAAAAATTCTTTTCTGAACCTTTAAATCAATGAAATGAAGATGTCAGATTGCAGGTGATGACAACGATGACGATGATATGATGAAGCAACCATAGCATTTGTGCAGGCAGAAAATCAAGATAGAAGAAGTTTCCATTGCTTTTTGTAAAAGGAAAAACTAATACATTCAGTTGCATCACAGGTGTATGATGAAATGTTACATCACAGCATTAAAAAGGTAACGCCAAACTAAACCCCACACAAAATAAACAGACACCTTGTTTAGAAGCATCAACAGCTTCAAGTCTGGAAACTTGCAAACCAACACCTCGAATATCCTTGATATCTAGGTCAAATCACCAAATTGAAATTATGTTTACAATTTTAATTAAATGTTGATTAAAAGATATGGATCCCATCCAAGATGACATAGTTGAATTACCTATGTGGAAAAGTCCAAAAAGCCTCTTTGCTATTCTTTGGATTTCATCCACACAATCAGTAGCAAGTGGAATCTACCATAGAAATAACAAAATCAGCCCCAAGATAAAATTAAAAAAAAAACACTTAAATAAGATAACATGACTAAGTAGAGTAGTTAAGCATATTTCCTTATTTACCTTCACAGAGTGACTCATATTTTCACAGTCTCCACAGCCCATATACTTTGCAGGTTCTTCGGCATCTTTTCTTCTCTTTTTGATCTAGATCATATGTCAGATAAAAAATAAGAAATACGAATTTGCTGACTCTGAGAATATGAAGTATATTATATTGAATAATGCATTCTAGCTCAAGAAACCAAACAGCATATAATCATGGAAGGTAACCAACTAAAAATGAAGGTGCCACATAAGTAACCCAAAAATAGCTCTTAAGATAATAGAACCAACACCTTGAGGGTGAATGCTCGCCCTTGCACTGCACAACCATGCAATCGCAATGCAACTTCCTTACAAAGGTTTATGAGGAAGCTTTCGCACTGGAATTACTTGTATGTCAGTATTTTGATTGATCCAAGTTTGCAAGATAAAGTACTATAAAGTAAGCTACATAGAGTGCCAGTATACTAACATCTTTCATATCATTGAATCTCACGCCCCAATTTACTTCAGCACCAATAGACTTACTTTCCTGCATAAGTGCAGATACTATCACCTTTAAGGAAGCATGAAATGATAACAAATGCAAGCTCATTAGAATAGACAGATTAACCTGTCCAGGCTAAAAAGAAAAGAAAAATGAAGAATACGTTATTTAAACGAATAGGCTGAAAGCGACATTAGCCACCAACAAGTGGCACAATTTCTGGAGTTCGTCATGACCAAGTATCATCTATCATATCAACTGGGCAACTTATATCATGTAATTCTAGTCCACGACACTATTGTTAGTCAACCTAAACATAAAACTGTAATAGATTGATGAAAACGGACACCTTCAGACAAGCACAAGAAACACTTAAAAGGCCAAATAAAAAGCAGATGAAAAAGAAATTATCTGGCATCACGTATCAAAATGCTTAAAACACAGAAAAATATGAATTTTCAAACTCAATATTCAGAAAACATTATGGCCTTTCAAACTACCTGAATGAACCCAACCAGTCTATTATCAATTCCTCTGCTGTAATTCCATAGCATTTCTCCAGTTTTCATTCCAAAGTCCTTCTGCAGGGAGTCCTACACGCACATACAGAGTCTTGAGTATTACGTTATCATGAATAATTCATACACGTAAGGAAAGTGAAACAAAACCCCAAATTAAGCAAGAAAAAGTTAAAGAATACCCCCACAATGAACGTACTATAAAATCAACAAAGCAACAATTAAAAATGATGTAGACTACTAGATCCATGAACTGAATCAGGTATCGTCAGTTCTCTTTCTGGTAAAAAATCGAAAAATTTATTGCTGAGAGCAGAGAACAACGCAGAAGGTACAAAAGAAGAGGACAAAGAATCCTCCTCAAACAAAGGGAAAAAAAACAGGTGGAAACAGATACATTTGGAGCCCAGAGCTCTCCAATCTCCCTAAAAATCCACAAGGGACACTCCTCCCAAAAAAATTGCAGAAACAAACAAAAGCCTGTAAAAATAAGGGTGAATGACACTTAGATTCCAAAAGATTAATTTAATAAGAATTATATCTCAAAAATTTTTGCCGAAAAATAAATTGCAAATAGTGATCTAGACACTTGCAAATATGAATCTCTACTACAAATCACTGGGAGTAACCAATAAAACTTAAATACCTTATTTGCATTGAGACTTTCATATGTGCATCTATCTAGATCAATATTTGCAGCTCATTTCTCGACAAAAATTTTTGGGACTTACTTTACATTAAATTAATCTTTTGGGACTTGAGTGTCATTTTCCCTAAAAACAATCCTTCCCAGAAATATCAAATGTAAGAAGCTTTATTTTTAAAAACTCGTATAGTAAAAAAAAAAAAAATCTTAATTTGTTATAAGCAAAGACACTGCAAACCAGCTAAAAAATGCACACTGCCGCGAATTTTATGCTCTGTCATTCAGCCAAAACCCATAAAATTGATAGCAAGTAAAACATGTAGATCAGCTTGACAAACCTCAAAGAAACCAAAACAGTCACTCCAAATCTGCCAGCCACTTCAAAATGGATTAAAAGAAGGGTTTAAATCTTAAAAGGTCATAAAATGAAAGCCATTCTCCTTGGATTCTGGCTGCTATATTGAAAATGAACTTCTCATTCTCTAGTTTTCTCTATCTCTACTACATAATTTCCATTACACCTTGTTCAAAAAATCAATGAGTTCAAAACACCATGTCCCAAAATCATCAAGTGAAGAAACAGTAAAACCTTGGAAATAATACGCAATTCTCCACAAGTGTGAACATTCTGCTTCTTCAGCTTCTCCTGTAAAACATACCCTATTCCAGGAAGTACACTAATCGGAAGTTGACACAGATGGTCATCAACCTGAGAAAGTCAAACTGAATAAGTCAGAGAGGTAATTTTCATAACTTCCACTATGATATCAAATCATGTCAGCTGTACAAATGCACAGATATGATCATTGGTGAACTTAATTAATCAAGAAGATCACAGAGGGATATATTGACTCCCAAGTCCTAAATTTTTATTGAGAAGGGAATAGAGATTGCAGTGCAGAGAAGTAATTTCTAATGCTCAAGGAAGATATAATCATTAGAAACCCAGGGCAGCAAGATGAGGTCAATGTACAAGTTTTTTCCCCCATAGATAAACGTAAACTCTTCCTTTTGAACAGGTATTGAGTCTGAGAATAATCTGAAGACAAGCCCCAAGGTCTAGAAAGATAGTATTTATTGGTCACGCAAAGAAACTTTAAGGCACAACATAACATTATCTTCAACTATTTTTCAAAATACATACATACATACATACATATATATATTACTGCATAACTGTATTGACAGCAGTTACTATCAAATGGTTCGATCAGCAAATAAACAAGGGTAAGCAGGAATTTTTAGCATAAAATTATGGCACAGCAGTTTATGGATAGACATGGAGAAATTGATAGTGGAGTAAGATGTAGGATTCATATATATTATAACTCTGTCAAACCATATCAGACAATAGACAACTTGAAATTTATCAATACAAACTTCTGAATAACAGCATACTCCAAACCATACCATCCCAGGAGTTATGTAATATTGACCATTTGGTTTCGCAGTTTTAGTGGCAATACGAGCCATAAGCATGTTTCCAGCTATACCAGCACTTGCAGTACATCTAGTGGTCTCAAAGATCTCTTCTCTGATTGATGAAGCTAAAAGTTCAGGATCTTCACCCTCTGCAACTGTGAACTCCAAAAATGCCTCATCGCAGCTTACAGCCTGCACCAAGTATAAATTATGCCCTAAAGGCAAGCTAACAAAATACAAAATTAGATAAAGAGAGCCCAACCATAAGCAAACCTGAACTTTGCTGCAGCCCTGGTGCAATATACTATAAAATTGATCAGCCACCTACAAATTGTCCAAGTAATACAATATCTCACAAATCAATTGGAAGGGAAAAAGAGATCTAGAAAAAAAAAATAACAGAAAATACTTCATCCACCACTCAAAACCCCCAACCATGGATGTCATAATGCTTCTTACCTCCTCATAAGCTTCAAAGTTGTAAGGAAAAATTACAAGATCAGGACAAAGTGCCTTTGCATCTCGAACAAACATACCAGCCCTAATACCTAACAAAAAAGAGGAAGTGTCATCTATGCACCAAAAATTAATCCATACAATGACAGTATTGCTGATAAAATCATATGATTTAGCATGTCACCAACCATAACTGCGAGCTGGGTAGTTTGCAGATGAAATCTCAGCCGTCCCTTTTGAATTATTTGAGTGACATACAGCTACAGGCTTATCCAGAAGTTCAGGATGGTTCCTAATAACTACAGAGACAAAAAAGCAGTCCTGACACAAAAAGCATAAATTCACTAGCTTTATTAAACTAAGCTGAAGATAGGAAAACAACAAGAATATTCATCAAAGTCTATAATCATAAATCACCACAGAATTAAAGTTAAATGGAACGGTCCATCCAAATCATGGGAAAATATATTGACAACAATAATAAATATCAAATATCTCTGCAAGCAAGCTTACCATGTCAACATGGATGATGACTTTCCTCCCTGAAATAACAGGTGCACTAACATCAGAACTTTCTGTATTAAACCGGTAGAACATATGGGAAAACGCTTTCGGTATCGATTTCTCCAAGTTCCTATGAAGTGCAGCCGGGAGCTCTGCAGATGCAAATTGCTATCATGACATTAACAGAGTCACAGAGCCTTTGGCAGCATACAAGTAAATCATACTATTGATAGTGTGATATGTGTGAGACAAGAAATCATGTTGTAATAATGCTGGACAAAGATATCATATCATGTAATATGTATAGTGAATAATTTCTCATGGTTAGATATTTCATCAAAAACCAATACAAAATTACTCAGCAATTACTTCTTTAATATTTGTCACCTTATTACTGATACAACAGTTTTAAAAAAATAAAAATGAAATAGAAAAAGCAGGCAGGTTTCAAATATGTAATTGCTCAACCCACCTAGTCAACATAAGAGTACAAATGCAGAGTTTATTTGATGTGGTGATCATTGAATATAGTGGATTGCCAATGTTTTTTGAAGAATAATATCAAAAAGATCCAGCTGGCTAGTGCAACTATATTAAAAGTTAAAGAAGGCCCAAAAATGTACTGAGATAAGTCTTTATTCACCATGCAATATTTAAACGCAAAATACTTCCAACTTAACTACCTTGAAATAATTTTCCACAAAATTTGGGTCTACAAGAGTTGAATGACACTGTTTAGAAGGTCCAGTGGCTGTAGAATTTGGACATCCTTTTGAATTCTGGTCATCTAAGCAGCAGTGGCTACTAGCTGATGTAGCAGGTCCTTGATGACTAGGTTTGAGTTCACTGTGCACATCTCTGTCATCTTTAATAACAGGTTCAAGTTCCACTTCAAAACAATTATCAGCACTACTTAGTTCTTCACAGGTAGTTGCATTAGTGTTCTCAGGGGCACTATCATCAGGTTCAACGCTCATTTGCTTTCCAGATCCAGCCATGTTATCAACTCCGGTTGAGTATGTATCCTTTGATTGGCTAACTGACACTGATGAATCTTCAATATCACCTTCCACACGACAAAGGGCATTAGTAAAAGCATCCTCCAACCTTTTGCTACTTTTGGGTGAGAAGAAGGCTGAAAGTTTTGGTTGATTACTAGCAGCAAGCTGATCAAGTTGGTAAGGAACCCCTGTAAACACAATAAGCATCACTCATTACATGATGGCATAGAAAGACGTGTAATATATTATCATTTTCCCAGACATAAAAAATTATAAAGTGAAACTTTAACGAGTACATAGTGGTCATGAAAGCATTCAAACAGTCCAACTAATTCTCTTCCCTCAAGAAGGTTTCATCACTCTTTTCTTGTTTCAATATTACTCAACAAAATATAGGTAGACATTTGTCCAGAGAGGGAAAAAATATTCACAAAAATGCAATAACTTACAGCTCAGGAGTCTGCCAGCAGCTATCGAATCCAATATCCAAGAGGGTTTCACAACAGGCAGCCCAGCACTGAAGGCTCTGCATTAAATCATCCAATAATTAAAAGTATCTCAATTAAGTGATGTATAATGATAGGACTTCAACCTCAAGAACCAAGATTTAAAGAAAGACAAATCAAACCTCAAGTTCTTAGCTTTACTGTGGGAAAGATTGCTGCAGACAATATGGGTTACATGATGTCTTGAGAAATAATTTTCAAATCTTCCACCATGTGTTAACATGTAGCCTCGCAATTCCTGAAATAAACTAGTTATAAATGTCATGCCATCTCTTCAATTTGACAAAAACCTAAAAAGAAAAAACTTGAGAGAATTGACAGTTGTTCTTAATTAAAACTTTGCTCCAAACCTAGAAAAGGGAGAGGGGGAAAAGCTTTAAAACTCGAAAACATCTCAGAGTACAATAGCTGCGGGCTTGTTTAACATCTTGTTCTAAAACAGTTTTCTATTCTTCAGAACAAAACAAAAAAAAAATCTTTGGTAACATTTTTTAAAAAGTGTTTTGAAAACCAAAAAAAAACAAATATTGTTCTAGAAAATAAAAAAATAAAAATGTCTTTTAAGTGTTTTAGAATTATTGTCTTAGAGAACATGTTTTCATTACTTTTTTGTTCTTATGAAATTTTTACAAAACACCAATTTTTAAACAATAAAATAAAAATAATTTCAAACAAGCCCCATATCCTGATCAGAACTTCCTCAGCATACAATCAGTAATAGTCCCTTCTTCAACATAAATCCCCCACAATTACACTTTGAATAAGGATAGACATAAAAAGCTTAAGCTTCACACGCAGTCCCTTATTCATAGCTGCAAAATTTTAACTATACAGCGTACACTCTAGCCCAATAACCTTTTATTGGATTCACAAAGCTTTGACCGAAAAGGACAATTGATGATCACACTTGATACTTCAAGCCCAACCCCAGAAAAAATATTAACATAATTAATACTACACATTATGAAGCCAACAAGCTTCGGCCCCAGCAGCATTCTGGCTCCCCTTTTTTCGTTTAAATTCAAAATCATTTTCCCCTCCCTTCAAGTTTCAGCAGTCAAGGTGAGAGCAAGAAGATGAACCTGGCTTGAAGGAATCGTGAAACCATCCACAAAGATCGAAACTCCACTAAACATAGGCTTTGCAGAACTAGAGCCACCAAGAGAAGATGCCGAGGCGTCGTTGTCAAACTGGTGATGTAGTTTCCGATTCTTCTCTACCATATAACTGATTTCAAAAAGCAGTCGACAGGGGCATAATTAAACAATTTGAAGCATGATAATTCTAACTTACTAAAGAGGTATAACTTATATTCGCAGTACCTCTGGATCATAAATTAATTCTTTTTTGGCCAGGAATTAAATTATTTCAATTAAAGCATAAACGATAAACTCTTGCTGACAGAAAATCTCATCGAACTTCAATAAAAAATGCCAAAAGATAAAATTATCAAATAATTCAGCGAAATTGTACATGTTCCCAGACTTTGGGGTCCCTGTAGCTTCTTAAATTGAAATTAAGATGCAGTAATTTCCTGAGAACCTGTTTTATTAAATTTCATATTGACAGGAGACGGAAATCTAAAATCGAAGAGCACCACCTGCCGAAATCGGAGAAAGCCGATTTTCGAAAGGAAGAGCGAGAGGAAGAGAGAGAGTTTGAGCCCCAAGCTACGCCTAGGGTTTTCTGGTTAGCATTCTTCTTCTTCGTTTTGGTGCTATCATTAGAACGATTAGAAGACGCTGAATTACTGAAACTTCGCTTTGAATTTGCAGAGCGAGAGGCATCGAAACTCATTCTATTTTCAATTTCTCAGGGGAAGAGTACTCAGCAAGATTGTCACTTTGCGGGAAAAAACAGTGGCTGTCTATAATACAGACAAATGCATTCAAATAAGGCGGCAAACTCAGCTTCACTGCTTCACAAATAAATTGGGCGACGAGTCTCCGTTAGCTTGGCCATGAAAGGGAACTCACAGAAGTCTGGATTTAGGAAAGGGAAAATTATTTCACGGGCCCTTGTAATTTGCATCAATTAGGAATCAGGTCCCTATAATTGTATTTGTTGGGATTGAGCCCTTTTATTTTTAAGGATTAAGCCCGTTAATCCTCTGGCTTTAAATCTGTTTAAATCCACTAACACCATTTGTGAATGACTATGTCATTGCTAGTTACGTTTAATCATGACACGGTGGAGCTAGATCATATCTTAACGCATCTATGTGACAGAGCTATTCGACCTTAGTGCGATTAATTAGGGATTGCATTCACGAGGAAGAAGACGGCTTAATGCATTGGAGTGAAGAAGAGAAGACGGTTGCATGTCTATATCAAAGTGAATCGAAAGGGTGTGCGATGAACCCTCAGTTGCTTTTAGTTATCAAATTTAAAACTAAAATGTAAAAGTGAATATCTTAGATTATTTGTATAAAGAACAAAATATACAAATCATTATTTAAATGTTACAAATTAATCTGAATTTTTAAGTGACTAAACTAATTCTATAATGCAATAATAAATATTTATAAATTTATATTATAATTGGAATGAAATGAATGATGATTATAATAAGCTCAAGTCAGATTTTCTAACATTAATAATTGATTTTTAAAATTATAACATCATAAATCTTCTTGATTAACCTAAAATGAGACACTTAGAAGCCTCTAAGTGTGGTGCACCATTAGACTTAACGGATACTAATGGATTTAGGTTAAGTGAATTTAGAATTAATACCACATCCAGCCTTATTCTACACAAGTCTCAAATCAGAACTAGTGAAAGGAAAATATCTTAAGTTAAATTCATATAATCAATATAGATCTAACTCAAGTCTACACAAGAACTTAAACAAAAATCAGCAAGAACTTATGAAATAATTCTAAAACATCAAGCTAAATCGTAAATTCTAAATCTAGACATAGCATAAAAATCTAAATTCAACATTCATATTCTCTTCAAATCTAAATTAGAATTACAAATTCCTTAACTAAACATAGGATCAAAATCGAAATCCTTAAAGAATCAAAGTAAGAGCATGAAATCAAGAAAATGAATAACAATTATAAATCTGAAAATCTCATAATGTCAAGTCATCCTTTTTGAATCTCTAGGTGGTTAGTCTCTCATGTTCTTTTTCTTCAACTGAATCAAGTCTTGAACTTGAGAAACCATCTTGAATCTGGAAATATGTGGCTGAATATGAACAAAATTAATCCTGGAATTGTAGCTGAAAGGGAATGAAATTGGTGTTGGATCAAAGAGATTCAATGGACAAAAAGAAGAGATGAAGAAACCTGAATATGGAGAAGAGAAAAGAAGGAAACAAATTTGGACAAAGATGAATAATGATCTGGACGCTAGAATCAAGGTTGAAATGTTAAAGAACAGATCTGCACTTGATGGAGCAATGATGAACACGTGAAGCTTGATGAAGGAAATGAGGGAAATGGATATGGAAAAATGTAGGGAAAACATGGATGAAAATTAAGAGAAAATGAGAGAGAAATGTGGCTGAAGAGAGAGAGTGGAATGTACATAATGAGGCTTTAATCTAAAAATATGGTCGAAGTATGTGTGATCCATATGAGTCAAGGTGATAATTTCAAAGTTGAATGGTGATGAAACTAAAGCTCAAATCTGAAAGGCTAATTTTTAGTTGGAAAAATGAGGATTAAAATGGACAAATTAATTCTAGAAAATTGGAAAAATTTGGTGCCACATGTGTTGAGTAGTGAGCATAAGAAATGTGACTCAATGTATGGACAATGTGACTAATTTGAAGGCTTGATCAAGTGTCACATAGTCCTCTATTAGATTCAGATTGCATTCACGCACAACATGCTCTTGTTTTGGCTTATGATGATGTCATCTAATATTTCCCTTGGGTCAGCTCTCAACTCACACCATAAAACTGATTCTTCATTTGATGATATCATCTCATGAATTCTATGCACTTTGCTAATTAGTTATTTAATTTCATCAATTAATTTTTGGAATTAGGCTTGCCAGCTCAACAATGTGAATCTGAAATTGTAATGCCACCTAAGCTCCCTTCTTACTCTTGATTTCCCCAATAATATTGACTTTTGCTTCCTGATTCCAAATTTGTTTCCTCAAAATTTTAAAAATAAAAGATACAAAATTAAATAAATTCTAGAAAGACAATTAAAAAGGAAAAAAAAAAGAATTAAGGCCCAAGATTTCAATTATTAGGGTCTATAAAGTCAATATGTAAAAGACAACTAAAAACTAAAAAATAAACCCTAATAAGCATGATTTGATGTGAAAAACTAAGTGTATAATATATAAAATATGAGATAAATCAGTGTACTAAGAATCAAAAAAGTAAGTACCAAGAATCCTTCTTCAAAATCTTCATCATATGCAATTTGGGTCTCCGTATTAAAGATTGCAAATATTAGAGACATCTTCAAATCCTTTGTCAAGCTCTTCACCTGTCATCTTTTCAGTGAAGCTATTCCATGAAAGCATGCACTGTAACATCTTGAAAATTTATCCCTTAATTAGCTGGGTGAATTAGGTTAATTAAGTGAATTAATCTGGTGTGTAGTTGTAAAGAGCTAACAAATGCTTTAAGTTGTGATTTTGGTCCTAAGATTGAGCCCAAAGCGAATTTAAGCCACTCAGACCTTGAAATGGGAGAAAAATAAAGGGAAATAGCTCTATGCTACATGCCGTATTACACGAGCCACCATAATGCAAAAGTCCCCTTTCTGTACCACATGCCGTGGCACGGGGTGTAAGTGACGCGGTGCATAGTCATGTTTCTATAGAAATAAGAATACAAAACAAATAGAAAATAGAAGAGAAACAAAAGAGGAAATATGATAAGCTCTACCAAGGCTTAGGATTTGAAGCATTAAGAGTGTTTTGAAACTTATAAACACTAGAGGTAAGTTTCGTATGCTTAAATCTATCTTCTCTCTTCCATTTTCTTAAATATGGAAGCTAAGGTTTATTAGAAAAGATGATTTTTGATCTATAGAGGCTATGAGTCTGAACCCATTAACTTAAATAGAGTTAATAAGAGTTGTTTAAGCTATTTAAACCTAACATTTATGGCTCTGTATTTTTGTTAGTTAGGAGCCATAAATACACAAAAATCCATCATAAATGAGGTGGTTGAAGCAATGTAAAGCTATTAATGGCTAGTTAGGAGTTTAATGAAGTTAATATGAGTTAGAGAAAACTAATAAACCTCATAGGTATCTTTGTATATGAGAAGATTGAATTTTGCAAGTGTTGAAGTGTTGAACTAAATATTAAAAATTACCCTAAGGAGGTCATTAACAAATTGCTTATGTAAATCAATATAGAGTAATTACAACTTGGTGCCATTCAAGTTTGAATTAGTTTTAAAAGTATGTATTTGAGGGATAAATATTTGACCTCTTAAAAGTTTGAAATAACTGGAAAAAAATCTTTCTTGTACTTTTGTGTTTTTCATTAATTCATACATCATAAATGAAGTGTGTGAAGTCATTGAAATGCAAGTATGGCATAACCTATTTGAAAAATCAAATATTAGGAATTTATGGAGTTCAACGAGATGATTTGTGTAAATTTCAATGATATGGATTATGTGGAGTTTTATGAAACAATGTTTGTGGAGTTCAATGACATGATTTGTGTGGAGTTCGATGATGTGGTTGCTGTGAAGTCCTATGATGTGATTTAAGTGAAATCCAATGAGATGTTTTGTGAAGTTCAATAATTTGTAGTTATGTGTTTGGGTGATAATCATTTGTGATGTAAGTATAATGATAATATTGAGCATGTCTGTAAATTAAATATTTTGCATGCTAAGAAATATTTCATTTTATACATTGCATAATTATGAGAAGTGTGAGTTAGCCTAAGAGGAGGAATGAAAGTTAAAATCCACGTCATAAGGCTACCAGTGGAGCTCAATGGTTTGTCTGGATTCATTATTTTTATTGCCCCACTTGTTCAATAAGGCATTATCCCATTATGTAATAAAAAACTTGAACCTACTCTAGTTTCCACTTGCTTGATAAGGAAGCTAGTTTAGGAAAACAACACCCTATAATGTGAGATTTAGGAGAACTGTGACTCATAAGTAAGTTAAGCAACCTCAATCAAGTAGCTTCTCATGCGTGATGGGCTAGGATAGTCTTATCTTATAGACAATCCCAATGTGAAATAGCCCATAGTTTTGTACCGAAGACATAAGGAAGATATAAAATAGGTGTGATCATGTATATTATGATTAAGGGCACATAGTTGTTTGTTTCGTGGCCTTATGATAAATTATTGTGAAAATACTTGTTTAGTGTTATTTTAAATGTGAAACGTGCTAGCATGTTGTTATAACATGAAATTGTAAAAATAAAGAACGACTTATACTTGAGAAGTATTATAGTGATTAGTGTTTTCATACAAGTATGAAATTATACTGTCTCTTACATTTAAATTGATTGACATGCATTTGCATAAATTAGATAAACCTTTGTTATTGAGTGATTATACTCATCCATCTCTTTTCAATATTAAAGGAACTAACTCATTGGGACAAAACCAAGAAAAACATGTTGAGGCTTAGAATTCTATCCTAAAATAGTAGGCCTCATTTATTTTGATTATTATTATGCATATAATTCATATGATATTAACAACTAGGGAAATATGTGTTATAAGACTACATTCCATGCTTTTGTGAAATTATTTTACTTTGATTAGTGATATAAAAATATACATCAAAATGTTTTGAAAATTTGAAATCTCATTATGTAAAATTTACAAATTTGATAATCCTATTGAACTAATCCCTTAATTACCTTAGTTTTGGAGTTGAATGAAAATTAGTAAGAGGGACCTTACATGCACCTATTGTAGGAATTTGGTAAAAATTTGGCTTAGCTATAATAAGGAGCCTTAAGAACATAAACACATCAAGTAACGAAACGATCATAAGGCTTAATTCAAAAATAAAAGCACTGCAATAGCCAAGGACTAGAAGTAATGGAGAGACTCAAGGAGTTAGATGGAAACGTCAACATTAACTAAAGAAAGTT